AGCCATCTCCATACAGCTACGTGGAGGCGATGCCCCATGCCACTTGTGTTACCTTCAGCGGGGCTGTGGGCATCTCAACAACCTTCCTGTCACCCCACAAAGCCCTTGCTCATCAGCATCACCACGGTGGCAGCTTTCCTTTACCTGGCTCTGGCCCAGATTAACAGACCATGGCTGGACAGAGAGATGGTTCTTTAATGGTGACATATTTTTAAAAGAAAATAATTTCCTCCTGCTGTTTGGCTTTAGAAGACAGAGGTCTCCTGGCATATGTCTTCCTTCAGAAATTTTGCCAAAGTAGGTCCTTGGTGTTGCATCTAATGTGCACACTGTACCGCCATACTCTTCTTTCCTTTGAAAAAACCCCACATAATCACATATCTAATTCCTCCCAACTTCACACATTTTTTTTTTACTTGAAATAACCGGATATTCTTCTATTAGAGTAGCCATTTTGTCTCCCAGTGGCATCGTCACCTCGTTATGCTAAAAGCTGTAGGAACAGGAGATGTGCAGAGCTTAGAGTCAGTTTGAATAGCAGTGATGGATAAAAACACGTTATCCGGGTTTTACATGCTGAGAACTAAAGCACAGAAAGAGAAAGTGGTGCACGAGATCCCCAGAAAAGTCTCCAGCAGAGAGAAGAGTTAACCCTGAGTTTCCAAAGGCATAGTCCAGCACATAACCCATAACAAAGTTCCTTTTGCGTGTGTGTATTTACAATTATTTTGGAGTTTCCTCTTCTGGAGTGGAAGGGAGTAAGAAATTAAAATTTAAAAAGCTGTGAACTGGTCCTTAATGTTTCCTGTGGGGCACAGCAAGCATTTCATGCTGCATCTCTTTTCCAAATAAGAGGGTTTTTTCCCCAACAGAGTTGTAAAATTTCTCTGTGAGCCTTTCCCCTGTAAAGCAAATGCGCGTAGAGCTATGTAAAGCCTGAGTATGTGGGAGGTTTATTTCGGAGGTTCAGGTTGCACCAGAGCTGAGGCAGAGCCTGTAACCTTAGATTGATTTTTCTTCTCGTGCTATTAAATCATTCAAATCCGTTAGCAGTCACTCTGCTCAAGCAGGGAGCGGGCAGGACGCGCTATTGTAGACCTTGATTGGTTACAGAGGTTTGTTTATGGGCAACGCGACACGTTTTGTTTAATATTCCAGAGGTCTGGTAATTTACATCCAATCAATTTACAAGGTACAATCTGTCGAGAGGCACCAGCGTCGCATTGAATTGCAAAATGATTGAAATCATTGGTGACAACGAGTGTGTTAAGTTTATTTTTCTAAGATTTGCTGGGATGAAAAGTTCCTTCTCCTTGGAGTGAGATATCTTGGCTGTGCTAGAAGAAATCCCAAGCAAAACTGGAACTGCTATCCGGCATCACGAGATGATCACTTAAATTAAATTCATCTGTTTGGGCTGCAAGATGATGAGGACCAATGGAGCAAGGTGTTGGCCCCGACTTACCCAGCTGTTGGGTATTTTGTTGGCCAGGAGGGCTCATGTTCAACTTGGTGTAAATGGGATATGAAGGAGGAGAAGGGGAACAAGAAGTGGGTGGCTGCTGATCTGCTGTTTTGCTTTTCCAGCATTTCAGTTGGAGAGATCTCCTTCTTTAAGCAGAGAGCTCAGAGTGTGCTTTGGTGGGTTGAATGTCCATGCAACGCAGGGTCACCCTTTGCCCAAAGAACTGGCCAACTCCAAAGGCAGCTCCAAATTACATTTTTTTATTCAAGACCCCTTAATAATTTCGGCTCTGGTTATTTTTTGCTGCCACAGCTTCATCTGTGGGTTTGTATTGCCAAGGATGATGGAGTAAAGCTGTCTTGAGTGAGTCTTAAAGAAATGGGATTTTCTTGTTGGCTGTGAAATGGTCCTTTCTGGATGTCCAGAGAAGGAGTAAGGAAAATTGATGGGCTCTGAAAGGCTTCTTTTGATGGCAAAAAGCAAAAGTACACTACAGTGTCCCCATCATGCGTGGAAGGAATTGGTATGCAGCCCCCAAGCCAGCATCTGACCGTCCTCCCCACTGGGGGGGCTCTGAACACCCAGAAGGACTTCAGTGCTCTGGCTTTAAATAAGGAGCAGACTGTCCCCGTCTCCCTCCTCCTCTTATCTCCAATGACAAATATAATTACAGCTTCACTTAAATTGCTGTAAATGAATTCTGGAGAGTAGAGAAATTGTGCGTGTATCTCTCCACTGCAGAAATCAGCTGACTCTTGCATTTTGGATGATGGGTCCATCCATCTCCACCGCTTGCAGGGAGGCATCGCTGGAGCGAGCTGGCACGATCGAATGCAGGGCTGCAGCCCCAGCACTGCTAAAGAGTGATGATTCTTTGCAGTGAGTCCATCTCCAGGAATGAGGCTGGTAGAAACTTCTCAAAAATGTAGGTTTTTCACTAAAAATAGATGTTTTTTTCCCCCATAATAAAGATGAGGTTTCCTGCTTTCTACTGTGACCAAATAAGCACCCCCTAGACCTGATCCTGAACCAAAAGTCCTGCCACCCTCCAAGGAAACAGATGTCACTTGGAGGTCTCACAGCTGAAAGGTGGGTGGCAGCTGGACAAACAGCTCTCACAGCTCCTTCGAGAGTCATCTCTTAACGCCGTTATCTGGAAATTAGAGGCTGTGTAACTAAGCCCATCGCCTTCTCGCTGATAATTTCATTTTCTTTGTGGGAGAGACCTCAGTGAGCAGCGAGAGGCTTGGAGAAGTGTCGGGGTGTGCTGGGGAGGGGGCATCCTTGTTATTCCCCTTCATCCTGAGGGGATTGTCACTCTCATTTCCCTCTTTTACACTCCAGGCCACGTCATTATTTTCAGCGGTATTTCTCTACCGTGTCTCTTCGTTACAAAGAAACTTCATAAATATTGCTGTGATCGGAGGAGTTGCTGAAGGAGGCTACTTCCAGGAGCGCTGTTTTACATGGCTTCACCCGTGCCCGCTTTTCTCCGTTGTAATTCTCAGTAAATTTAAATGCATAGTTAGGCACTTTGCGCGAGCTTTTCTTTTGCTTTGTCGCGCTCCTTTAATTGTGCAGTTCTGTCTTGTATGTTTACCTCTGTTTCCATTTGTTTCGCACAAAACAGATTGGGGCTTTTTATCTCCTCATTTTGGTGTGTTTTTTTTTCTTTTCAGAGTAGATCTGAAGGTGTATTTAATTTTAGGAGCGAAGCCAAAGCTCCACGTAGGTTCCTCTTTCAAAGCAGGCCTTTGGCTGTACAAGCAGCGGCAAGTGACATTTACTTAATCAGTTTTCATCAAAATGAAAGTTTATTGTCAACAGTTCCTCGGTGATGTACAAATCCTTTCTGTGCAGAGTTGCGTTGGCGTCTGGCTAAGTGTTTATCGTGCAACAAACGGTAGTGCAAGAGAAGAGAGAAGGAGATGTTTCTTGAAGCCAGCAGATAGCAAACCTCTATTATTCAGGTTGATCACAGAACAGCTATGAGCTGAAAATGTGAAGCAACCGTGAAAAAAAGCAGATATGGCAGAGCAAAGGTATATTCCCAGCGGAGACGGGAAAGCTCTAGTCCCGTTGTGGCACCAATTACAGCTCAAATCTGGCGTACAGCTCTGGTTACCCATGTTCAGGACAAATTAATTGAAACCAGAAGGGGTACAGAGAGTTGCTTTTGTCAAGCATTGGAACAGGCTGCCCAGGGAAGTGGTGGAGTCACCATCCCTGGAGGTGTTTAAAAGAGATGTAGACAAGGCGTTTTGTAGGGAAATGGTTTAGTGGTGGACTTGGCAGTGTTAGGTCTGCGGTTGGACTCGATGATCTCAAGGGTCATTTCCAACCTAAATGATTCTATGATTCTATGAAGAGGGATGCCAGGGATGGAGAACTTCATAAGGCAAAGAATAATGTTGGCATATGAAGAACCAAATATAAAACATCAATGACTAAGTTTAGGCTGGAAAGTAGATTCCAAACATTAACTCCACTGTTAGACAAGCGATGTTTTGAAGGAGCCAGCAAGGGTAGAAGTCTTTAATACGGCACACAAGTTTATAGTCAAGGCCATGAGACACAAGGCTTGTGGGGACTGGACTTGATGATCCAGGAGATCCCTTGCAATCCCATTATTTAATTCAAGTGGAAGTTGTCGAAGTGGGGCTGCCTGATTTCAAACATTGCTAATCACCCTGTGCAGGAAGTCATTTCTAAAGTGCTGCTTGAACGAGGACTTGAACTCAGATATTTGGGATACGCTTCCTCTAATTAGGGTGGAATATATGATAACAGCGTGTTACTCTTGTTAGCGAAGCTACTTCTGCAGCTCGAGTGGCAGCGATTTGAGTTGCAGGGGAGAAGGTTCAGGGTTCAGGCACTGCCGTAAAATATAAGGGATGAAGGCTGCAGAGTTAGAGCTGCACTGACACTTCTCCGAGAGACGAGGCTCTTGTGGTCGGGCTAAATTCAAGGTGGTTTGTTTTAAAGAGGTCTCAGTGGGAGGGAAACAGTTGGTCCATGACCAACTCATACCTGTTGCCTGCTTTTTAATTGCTTTACTGCCTAAGAGCTGCATTTATTAACAAGAACAAAGAAAGCCTCCCAGATGCCTCTGAAGGGGTGGGGGCAGGCAAAAATTCACTTGAGATTACATGGAGAAGTCTATGGTGACCAAAAGGGACCATCTTTCCTGTCGGTGCCATGCCTTGGCTCCCGAGCAGCTCTTTTCTCACTCCAAGCAGAGCAAGATAAATGTTCCTGGATTTTGCAGCCACAGAAATACTCATCGCAGAGCAATATCTTCCCAAGCAAATGTATTCCAGTGGTTGATTAAACCCCTCAGATTCACTTTGGAGTTTAATCAATTGCAGAAGCAGTTTGTTGTTTCGTACTCTCTCAAATTATAGAGGTTATTGCTCAGCCAAAGGTGGGAGAGAACAGACGTATTTAGGATGGAAGCAGACAAGATGCTGTGGTTGCTAAAGCTGAGCGGTATTGATGAGATATGTCACAAATTTATACTATCTTCTCTTGCTAGCCATGTCTCCTGGCCAGGACAGCCATGCCAGTCTGGAACACCTTCCTGCATCCGAACAGATCCTGCAAACCTTGAGTGAGCTGGCCAGGTCTTTCCAAGAGATGGCTGACCGCTGCCTGCTGGTTCTGCATTTGGAAGTCAGGTAAAAGCCCTGAATTCATGGGTGGCGGGTGAGCTTGGGAGGCTGTTGGTTATGATTGAGTCCAGAGTACATATTATGGCACTTAAGACAGATATACTTGCCTGCCATAGCATCAAAGGTCGGTCCAGAAATGCCAGATCCCGTCGCCATGGGTGGCCACACGTGGGACGGAGGCAGGGCACCAAAAGTGGAATTTCCTAGGGAGGTCTGTGTCTTCTGTGTCAGGGACTAGGAAAAATGGGGTTTAGGGGCTTTGTCCTTAGAAAATCGCACAATGATGGTTTTTATAATCTAACAGGTGTCTGCACATTTATTAGCCACTGCGCTTTGGAGCTTTTCATACTGCTTTTTCAAATAGTATCAGAAACTGGGGAACCAGCTGGATCTTTTTAAAGGGATGGATAATTTTATGATGTCTCTGACTTCACATGCAAAGATCAAAGGCAGCAAATCCCTTTCTTCAGGCTGCCAGCTGTCCACTCTGGGGCTGGGAAGACATTTTTCCCTTATGCATCGTATTGGCCAGGTGTATTTTCATTGCTTCGCTTTTCTCTGAAGCATCAAATATAAAAGGATGTTGGAGACAGGCAATGAGACTTGATGGACCATCGGTTTGTTCTGCCGTGACATATCCTGAGCCATACTGTGTCCTTGTGTACGTTGGCAGAGTTCTGGTGAAGTCAGTATGTAGCGTTAAAAAAAAATACACATTAGTTATTGTCAGCAGCCCTTCAACCTGCTATCCATCATCTGCTGGCCACTTGATTGCAGGCATCACAGACGAGCTGGGGTTTGAAGGATTTGAGGAAAAGATGGTTAAGTTACGGAAATGGAGCAGCTTTCCAGCTGCGATGTAATGCAAGGTGACGCCCGAGCTAACCCAGACTCGTGGTATGGGCACCAGCCTGAAGGGGTTTCTGGCCTCAGTCCTCTGTGGCTTTCCATCACACTTGGGTTAAGCAGAAATAAGTGCAAATATAATTCAGGAAAAAAATGTTGCTGTCATTTTAGAGCAGACCATTGCCCGCCTCCCCTAGTGCTTCTAACAGGAGCCCCAGTTTGATGCTGTAAATACAGCAAAGCATGTTAGTCTGTGCAACGCGTGGAAAGGATTGAGAAAGAGAGAAGCTAACAACCAGAAAAATCCCCAGCGGGGTGGGAGCTTCCCCATATTCCTCACTCTGCATTTGCAGCTACCTGCAGTAACAGAGGAAAATCCCGGTCCTTCTGATGCCTGTTCCTAGCGGGTTTCTCTGAGATTCCTACGCCAGCTCCTCGGATCCGTGCCATTTCCAAGGTGCGCAGTACAATGTGTATTCATTCACAGAAACCCTGTGCTTTAAACAGGCACTCAGAGCACATCTGTAAGGAGCCTGGGAATTTATCCAGCATCTTGCTGTTGCAGGTGCAGTCTAAGAAAACACCAGCAAACAGCAAAGAGGATTTGAGATGATGCAATTATCCCCTCGTCTTTCTCCTCCCTTAGAGCCCCTGGTCCTTCACAGCTCTGCCAGATGCAGGTTGGCACCAGCCCGGTGTTGGCTTCTCCTCCACCAGTACCGTGCGGGTATGACCTGAGGACAGCGGTCGCTAAGAACCTGCTCCTTGGATTTATATCTGCTTCCTTAAAGGAAATCTGTTGGTGCATTCAGATCATTAGCCATTTCTTCTGTTACAAATAACCGTGGAGTTTTAAATTACTTAATGTCTGTTACAGCATTTTCCTATAAAAAGCCCTGTATAGAATTATATAGGAACAGGCACTAAAGAGTATAAACAGATGTTTTTACTCTTGGAATTGCCCTAAATTGAACTTGCTTGTGATGGCCACCTCAAGGATGTCTTCCAGGAGGATGGGGGACATGAAAGCCAGGACATACCTGTCACAGCTTCTCCCACCCCAACACAACTCCCCGCTGTTCGGGCCAGTCCAGTGTGAACTTTCTGACGGAGTGTGCTGATCCTGAGTTATGCTTCAAATGCAAGGGAGGTTTCACCCAGGCTGTGGTTTGGCTGTGTTTCCCTGACAGATGAAATTCAGAAGAACCCAACCAACCTCCTGTCCCTGTTGAGTGATGTGGGTGAAACCCAAGAATTACAAAAGTAGAAGGAGTTTTGCTATCGACTTTGCTGGGCATAGCATTTTCCTTTATAGGTTAAAGAGAATGTACTTAATTACAGGTTTCTGCAGAATCCTAATGGGTGATCTGACTGCACACAGTTTCTCCTTTGATGGAAGGATGATGGTTGGGCATGTTGCCTACAGCCCTACCAGGCAGGTGAACAGAAAAGAAAAAAGTTGCAGTAGCATTAAATGCTCAGGAATAGGCACAATCTTGGCCTGCTAATTATCGTTTCATGTCCCCTGGCTCACTCCTTCTGCCAGTTATAACTGTTATTGGGTCTTCATGGTAGAGTTCTGATTTGAGCATCGGTAAGGTCTGAACCAGCATGTGTGAGGTTGGACAACCTGGTGAAAAGACACTTGGCCACTTTACTGGGATGATGTAGGTCAGCTCAGTTAATGAAGGGTCCTTTGTATTCACCTCTCAAGATGGGACAATGACATGTCAAGAGGATGATGTTTTTAAAGCAGACATAACAGCCCATTTCTGAAAATTACTGTTATTTTTTACTTGTTTGAACATTGGAAGGAAAATAAGAAGGCAACACTTTGCATACCTACCGACATTTTAACGTCGGGGTTGTTGCATTGTAACATCTCCCTCTTCTGTCTCGCAGAGTTCATTGCTTCCACTACCTGATCCCACTGGCTAAACAAGGGAACTACGCCATCGTTGCCAACGTGGAGAGTATGGACTATGACCCCCTCGTCGTCCGGCTCAACAAGGACATCAGTGCTATCGAGGAAGCCATGAGCGCCAGCCTCCAGCAGCACAAGTTCCAGTACATCTTCGAAGGTCAGGCATTTACTATAAGAGTTTGGTTCTTACGAAATGATTTTTCATTCTCATCCCAAAGCTCAACGCTATTCTTTTGGGGGCTAAGGCAGACTGTGGTATGGTTGCCACCTACAGTAGATTGATAAGCGAGACCCATACAAACACAGGGCACCCAAAAACCCTGTCGTCTCCATACCATTTCTGAGCGTATCTGGCTGAATAGGAGAAACAGGCCCATGCCAAGTAGGAAGGCAATAAGTTGACGTACGTGCAGGACAGTTCTTCCTCGGGAAGCCGTAGGGCATGTGTATGTATTACAAACACGGCTCTATTATGGCACAGTTCCTATCTGAAGTGTAGCCATTCCATTTCTAAAATTAAATTTAGAGAACATTAGCTCTTCTGATGTCTCATCTGTCGTGATTACCTTGGAGAATATAAATCATGTCTTGGTTCATCTCCCCTGTATTTATTTGCAGCGCTGACGCACAGTTCTCTTGCCTGCGCGCCAGGATACGTGTCCTTTTATGTGGTGGTTGTTCAAAGTCAGGAGGAGGTGGGGACTGGAGATGTACCCATGGTCCAATATAATATGTCAGCAGGGATGAAGGCTTTGCAAGCTTGGGTAGCCTTATTTTGGCCGCTGCTCTACTGGTCCTAGAGAGGGCTTTCAGTTCCCCCCCCATACCTGTGTAGCTATTGATGGAGCATTTTTTAATGAGATGTTTTCTGAGCTGTGTGAATCTGTGGCAAACTGAGTGATCACCAGCATGTTGTAGAGCTCCTCTTACAGCTCAGGTCTGCTGTGTCTGTTTGAGGAGAGTGAAATGGCTCCACACAGGGTCCTGGGGACCATTCGCACCTCGCTAACCCATAAGGTTGAAATTCATACATGGTCTTCATGAAATGTAGGCACCTCTTAAGCTCAGTTTTGGGGTTTGCATATACCCTGTGCTGGTTGCCTATGCATGAACATATTTTCTTAATTCAGGCTTATAGTCGATGTTTAGTCTTGTACAGACCTGTGTACTGAGTGAATAATTAGGCTGGGGTTTTTCTATTTGGAATATGACATGAATGGATACATCTTTGTGGGGGTGGCTGTGACTTTTAGCAGCTGGCTATGTCCTTCAGCAGCAGAGGAAAAATGGAGACATCATTCAGACACAAGAAACTGTTCAAGACTGATCCGAGAGAGGTTGCACATCAAGTGCACTGAAATGCAGCTCATTTCTGCTCTTGTGAACTGCGAGTTTACCAGGAAAAAATACCACCCTTGATAATAGATTAAAATGCTATCATTTTGTAGGAGCAGTAGTGGTCCATTGCTCTGCCCAGAGAGAGGGACTGAAAGGGACATTATGCAAAGCCTGATTATAAATCTGGAAGTGCCCTGAAACAGCGATGGCTGTAATAATGCAACTTTCAGTTTTTATAGTGTTTGGGAGTGGTTTTGTATTTTCACTAAAGGAGGAAACCTTGAGGAAAGTCCTCCTAAAATGCGCAGGGAAGCTGTTACCACTTACAGTCCAGTGTATCTCCTGTTCCAGTTCACATGTACTGATTCGTGGGGTTTATGATGAATTATTGTCCCTAAATGTCTTCCTCCTGTGATTTTATTGTTTGTTGTCCCCCTCACCCTTGCAGGTTTGGGCCACCTTATTTCCTGCATCCTTATCAACGGCGCCCACTACTTCAAGCGCATCAGCGAATCTGGCATCAAGAAAATGTGTAGGAACATCTTCATCCTCCAGCAAAACCTGACGAACATCACCATGTCACGTGAGGCTGACCTGGACTTTGCAAGGTGAGGAGAGCATCTCACATTGTGTTTGTTAGTATTTTGATGTCCACAGGTACAGAGGTAGCTCCTTCCAAAAGTTTCACCACTCGTGCGTGCAACTGGATGGATATCAAGTTCATAGAATATTGGAATCATAGAATTGTTTGGGTTGGAAGGGACCTCAAAGCCCATCTAGTTCCAGCCTCCCTGCCATGGGCAGGGACACCCTCCACTAGCCCAGGTTGCCCAAAGCCCCATCCAACCTGGCCTTCAACACTGCCAGGGAGCCAGGGGCAGCCACAGCTTCTCTGGGCAACCTGTGCCAGGGCCTCACCACCCTCACAGGGAAGAAGATCTGCCTCAGATCTCATCTCAATCTCCCCTCCTTCATCTTAAGGTCATTCCCCCTTGTCCTGTCACTCCATGCCTTTGTCAACAGTCCCTCTCCAGCTTTCATAGTTAAACCTGTAGATGTCTTAATCATAACATTCACTTCCCTCCTTGTTGAGCAACATTCAGAGCAACATGGATCACTTAAGCTCAGCATGAGCTCAAAGTGGAGGTCCCACCATAGCGTCTATGCTTGGGGCTTCCTGTTGGTGTGGTTTTCCCTAGACCAAAACCCAGGGAAGGAAAATTTCTAGGTATAGGTCTTGGGTGGAACCTAAACTGGATGACTCTGGGACCTGGATTCATGCCCAGGTAAGTCATACTTTGGTTTGCTGAAGGTTTTAGCTTTTTCCAACCCTCAGGAGGAGTGTGTGTGAACCTCGGGGATGCCAGGTGCTGTCTCCCTTGAAGTTCTGTTGTGCTTAAAATAGTAGTAATAGCCAAATAAACACAAGACTGGACATGATAGAACCTCTGCAAGTTTCTCACCAATATTCACTAAAGGGAGATCATTTGAGGAAGAAGAAAACACTAAACGGTGTATGGACACGGACCTAGGGTGCTGACTACCGGTAGCTGTATTGGCTGATCATCTGTGGCAGCAGCTGGTTCAGCAACAGGCAGCTGAGCCCAAGAAATAGCCAAAGGAAGAGTCCGGAACTTGCAAATTAAGGCATGTAGATCAAATGACAGAGTTTTGTGTGACACTCGACTACGACCCACCACAAACACTGGAAATAGTTGGTGTCATCATGTGGCCATCACTCTTGGAGACTGAATTAGGAGAGAAGCATGACTCCCTCAGATGAGGAAGAGTAGGTATGACTGAGTGCCTCATTTACTTGGGCTCTCGTATGGGGAATGATCTCATTATTGAATTAGTTTCTTCGTAATAACACTGACATGGAGAAGTTATGAATGCTGAGGCCTGGAGGAGGGGGAAAGATCCATTACTCTCCAAGGAACAGAGTTCCCAAATTCAATCTTTCCTTTTTTTAAATGATTTTTTCCCCCGATCTGTTGAAATGTTAAATAAATTAGCCCAGTTTTTTGGCAGGCAGAACAGAGCCTGAGCATGTGCTGACAGCAACTGGCACCCAAATAATGAAATGCTGACCAAGCGCTGCTGGAAGCCGGCACGGCATGGCTGGCCGTTTTCTGGAGAGGTCTTTGGAGTAAGGGTTGAATAGCCGTGGAGCTCTGAGTCCTAGTGCTGCATAATTGGCGTGGAGTTTGAAGGGGGGGGAATGTGTTCACCCCTCCCGATCTTGCTTGATGGGTGATATGCCAGACCAGCAGTTTTCACAACATCAAGCATATACCAGTCGTCTTCATATATGAGTTACGTGAAAAATAGATTTTCTGCTGTGCAGTTGGGGCTGTTGGGTACCACCACCGACAGGTGTGGAGCTTGGAAGAGATCCCTGAGCTTTCTGCACAGCAGCATCAGCTCCTTTGTGGTACCTGTGATACAGATTTCTTCCCATAATATAAATTCAACAACATTTCGTCTTAGCTTTCATGACTGCGTCGCTTCCCTTTTTCTTTTGGGGCAGATTTCTGTGATCTAGAGAGTATGTTTTATTCTTTTGTTCTTCAGATGGCTCCTGAATGCTTATTACCCAGATTCTCCTTTTATATAAACAAGGTGTCTCGTGCATCCAAACCCTGCCCTGCTCACCTGAATTTACAATTACCCGAGCAAGTTCTCATGTTACCCCAGGGACTCCGCTTACCGAGGTCTATTCAAACTATAAAATAAACATAACAGTTCACCCCCAGAAAGCATAAAATAGTATCAATGTAGGATAAAAGTGATTTGTACTTCTGTGATATAGCTCACACAGGAATCTGTAAATGCTTTGTGCAGTAGGTAACTATCAGTTTTGCCTTTTTAAAGATGAGAAACGGAGAGCAAGTGGTTATTTCGTGTACGGGAGCAGTAGCAGAACTGGTGGAGAAATACTCACTCACCCTGCTCTTCCTTTCCCCCTGCACCTCCTGGTACCTGGGGTAAATTCCCTCCCCGCTTCACTTCTCCAAGGAACTGGGTGGTCATTACGGAAAGGGAGAGAAGATTTCTGAAGTGGGTCTAACCCAGCTTGGGACTCAAGGTCTTGGATTTGCCCTTGTGCAAAATAATTCAACATTTGCTCCGATTTCTTTAAGGAACTTCATTAGAAGTCATGCGCTCCTTTGGTAAGGAAAAGACGTAATAGGTTTTTTAATGGTTTGGGGTTTTTTTTCACATACACAGAAAAATAGATTTTCTCAGGTAGTTATGGAGCTCTTTGCCCTCCAGGTTGGATCTAAGCCTCATCGGAAGCCAACTGGCTCATGCCTCCCCTGGACAGTCAGGTCGCTGTCCCTGTTGCTCCCTCGCCCTCTTGATATTTCTTTGTCCGTGAGAGTGTGACACTCGGGGTTCAAGAAGCAAACAAACAGCCCAAATTAATGACCAATACATCACTCTTTGTATGATCACTCTTCATACATTAAGTTTTAACTCTGGAAGAAGTCCTTGGTGGTCCTTTTCTGAAAGTGAGCACATTTAAAGTCTGATGTGCTCAAGTTTATAGGAAAGACTGGTCCATTTGAGAAAGGGCCAAAAGACTTGCAAGATTTTCCCGGGTGTCAAGCTTTTGAGTTTTGTTTTTCACCTTTTATATATTCTTCATGGCTTTCTGTGGGCCCCAAAGAGCACTGGACATCCCCATTCTTCTCGTAGCTGGTGCCTTAGGCAGTAGAAACCCCAACCAGGGAAGCCAGAGGGGAAGATCTTTCTTCTCTGAAGCCACAATCACATAGAGGATTCACAACAAAATCGTAACGTGTGTAACACTCGCTGGTTCTGGTGAGACTCTTGCTGTTTAAACCACATTTTTCGAAAGATCTGTAACCTGCAGGTGACAACAGCAGCTTTGGGAGTAGTACCATGGCAGGGGGAAAATTTGTTTCAAATGAGTTTTGCTTTGAGATTCTCAGTTCAAGGTAGAGCCAGGTAGGGCAACTCTCTGCAGAGCATCACAAAGCAGAGCCAGAGCACGTTTCCATTGAAAAAAATAATAAATTGCCAAGTTCTGCAAGGAGTTTCTCCACCAACAGGAGAAAGGGTAAAATAGGCTGCTGAAGTGTCACAAAAGGACTTACTTGTAGCATTTTCTAAATTTCCTGAAAATATTAATAGGTGTTTCCCTTATATATGTGTGCAGTGTCTAGGCCAGCAGAAATGCAGTCAGTCATTAGGGCATCCACTACCATATTAAAGAAAAAGCAGTATTTTCTTCTAGGCATATATTGCAAAGTCTGGAACTGAGCGTGAGTTCCAAATACCTCCAAATTTTGGAAGTTTCAGACCCAGAATTAGATTTATGGCATTAGGGGGATAAAATGCAGCTTCAAATTTGGGTTCCACTTCAGGTCTTTTCCCTTGTGCCTTCTTTCCTACTCCCTCTTCCTCCCCACCAAAAATCCCACTTGCACGTTTATGCAGAGATTTCATCAGAAATAGTCAAAAAGGGCTAGGTTTCTGTTCCAGACTCATCCTTAAATAAAATATCATTCAACTCTTAGATGTTCATTTTTCATTTGGGGGGGGAAAAAAAAAAAAAACCAACAAAATTTTCTCAGACATACAGCAGTGATAAAATTGCCTTATTCTTGAAAGTTAATTGAGGTGGTTGTAAGGGGAAGGGAGAGACCGGTGATGAAATGTGAACATTTCATACAACACAGTGTCATTTTGACCTCTGAGATAAAGGTTTCTGAGTGGTGCTACTCGTCGTTACTGGATCTGAAGATGTCCTTCATCCCTTAAATGGTTTGGAGCACAGTGAACCTGAGGTGTCTGTACACCTAAGAGTTAGATCGGAGGTTCCCCTGCTGCTACCGTTCAAGTTAGCAGTTGCTACGGCCATCCATCCCACGGGGACCAGGAATCTTTTCCTGCTGCTAGAGATGTTACCGTGGCCCTTGGCTCTGACCGTGTCTTTCTAGTAGATGTGGCACCTACGTTGTCACTGCTGGTGGATCCCAACGGCTCGGGAGAAGTCCCCAGTGAGGAGGTATGGGGAGAAGCCATCAGCATGCCAGATGGTTGTTCATAGGTCGGCCATGAATAAGCCCTTGAAATGTAGTTCAGATGCCTGTGATCAAATCTGTTGGTATACAAGGGCTGCTTGAATTTTCATCGTTCACAAAAGAGAATGACCTTTGCTTCTGCTCCCAGGCAAAATACAGCTGCAGCTGCTGCTCTGACCTTGTTCCTCTGTGGCTGTGTTCTCCCAGTGACGGCCCCGATGCTACAATATACATGTACTTGCTTGTATTCTTATGTTCTTGGGGCAAACAGCTTCCCACCACCCATACAGCCACCTCCAGAGAGTCGGGAGAGAATGGCACCAGTCCTCGTACTGGTTTCAAAGTAAGTGAGAACTGCCAAGGCATTTGTAGGAAGCAGTTACAATTAACACCAGGTAACACCTGGAAACACGGCCTGTACCCAAAACCTGTCTTTATTTAGTTGGGAAGGGTAAGAGAGTATAGATGAAGGAGGATGCAGCTGGACCACGCGCTTTCTTTCAAACCAGTGTCAAGCTGCTGCATCATTGGTCAGGTTGGGTACCAAGGTCAAG